CCCCGGAAGCGCTTCCAGATGTACTCCAAATCTCCTTTCTACCGAGCAGGGGGACACCATGGCGAGGCCCCCGAAAGCCGGGCGAGCCCCGAGGGCCTGCCGGGGCCTCTCCATTATCCCGAGGACCGGCCGCAGTTCACCACGCGCGGGACCTTCAACCCAGAGAAGGGCAAACAGAAACTGAAGAGTGTGAAATCTTCCCCCCCAAAAACCAAAGAGCCCCCAGATGGGGGGCCTGGAGGGGGACGCAAGAGGAACCCTGAGGCCGATTGCGCCGCCGCCCAACCCCTTGTCCTCCTGGGGAGCAACGAGTTCATGGTCTGAGATGTTCCACCCTGGAGCCGTGTCCGTGCTGGGGCATCCTCTCCATTGGCAGTGCTCTGATGGCTTCCTTGTTAACGCCAGGAGATGAATTCTTAATTAAAAAGCCCGGGAGGGGACGGTTTTAATGGTGGCCTTAATGATTTGGGGGAGTTGAGACCTTCGGGTGGCCGGGGGGTGGCCGGGGATGGGAGGCAGTGACCGGCTCCTGGCCCTTCCCCCGGAGCATCCCACGCCTCGGAGCACCCAAATCCTTGTGCCGAATCACCCTCGCTGCTGGCAGGAGCAAACCCAGCCTCCAAATGCCACGGGAGCATCCCGAGCTGGCTCCACTGCAGCCCAGCCCTCCGCGCTTTAACCACCTCATCCACGCCAACGCCACGTGCATGGAAAAGTGTTAAAACCTGCCAAAAATCACCTTTTCCCTTTGGTTTTTTCTTTTTTAATGAGACCTAACCGTCTTTCCTTTTTTTTTTTTTTTTTTTTTTGTCTTTTTGAGATCATCAGTATTAAAAAATAATAATAATTAATAATAATCGAGGACTACTTGAAGCGATATTTGTTTATATGCTGGTTCCTGGAGTTTTGTGTAAATATATATTTTTTTAATTTTTTTTTATATATTTTTCCCCAGACAGAACATCTTTTTTTTTTATTATTATTATTATTATTGTTATAATTATTTTTGGGTGGGAGAGGAGGGGAGCAATTGGCTGAGCCATCCTTGGTGTCACCACTGGTGTCACTGGCCATCACTCAATAAAACATGGAGTTTTATTCTCAGCAGGAAATCCCTGGAGGTGTAATTATACCATCATAACCCATCATAGGACTAATTAATGATGCTAGTTACTGACTCAGCTTCTCAGCTTGTAATCCCTCCCCAGTCTCATCATCATCCTCAGTGGCACCTGGAGAAGCTCCAGGTACCAGAAAACCTCTGGAAAGGCAAAATCAGGAGCCCCAGGGCAATAATTAGATTTACAAAGGCTGGATCTGTCCTCCTAGGTGGGCTGGGCTGGGGCTTATCCTTTCCTGAAATGCCACCAAAAATGGGGGAAATAACAAAAAATTGAGTTTTCCTGAGTGTTTTGTCTTTTCCCGGCATGACTGGATTTGGCTGAGCTGCTCCTCAGTCCCCTCTCCCCCTGCCCTTTCCAGGGATGGTTTATTTATTGGGGTAATTTTTTATTTGATATTTGAAATCTGACTTTTTTTCATGTTATCTTTAATTTTTTTCCAACGGGGGAAGTGACAGATGCTGCAGGGAGAGTGGGAACAGCATCGGCCTCGGCGCTGCATCCTGGGAGTGGAGCAAGACCAAGTCAATCACCCCCATCCATGGGGGAAAATGGGATTTTCCCAGTCCCAGAGGGGAAAACAAGGCTTTGGGGATTGACATGGATGCACTGGGAAGGCAGCTGGTGACCACAACAGTGGAAACTCCTGGGGAGCCATCCCAGATTCTCTGGGAGCTGGGATTGCTGGGAGCATCCGAGTGCTTGGTGCCAAACCAGCCTTCTGAGCTTCTTGAGCTAAAAACCCCAGAATTGTCCTTAAAATGGCCCCAGGGGAGGAGATCCTGGGCATGAGTGAAGGGTCCAGCCTCGTCCTCAGGTTTCTCATCCCTGTGGGATGAGAGCAGGGATGTCACATCTGACTGGGGCAAATATATACACATATATATATATACACACATAAATACATATATATATATATATACACACACATACACACACATTTACATGTGTGTGTATTTATATATGTGTGTGTGTGTGTATATATATGTATATGTATCTCATTTCTTTCGGGATATATTTATTTTCCTTATATATATTTAATCTCTATATAAGGAAAATATATTTAAGTGATATTTATATATATATAAAGAACATATATAATAATGTATATTCTATATATAAAGAAAATATGCACACAAAAGGATAAATATTCTCTGTATAATTCAAAAATACATAAAAGAATATTGACTAAATATGTTTATGTATTTTCTATTTCTTATATATAGTACATATTTATATATAAATATATAATATATTCTATATATAAAGAATCCATATTTCTTTATATATGCTTATATATTTATATATAAAGAAGCATATAAAGGAAATTAATTATATATTTCCTTATGTATATATTTTACATATTTCTATATATAAGGAAGTATATATAAAAGAGATATGTACTATATATAAAGAATATTTATTACTTTATATATATTTTAATGTATTTCTTCTCTATGTAGAAACATATTTAATGTTATATGATTTAAACATATATTTAATATATGTTTAATATGTATGTTTATATATGTTTCTTCACATATATTTATATATTTCTTTATATAAAGTGTATTTCTCTGTAAAGAAATATATAAAGGAAATATATAGTATATATAAAGAAATATATTTTCTCTCTTTCTTTATATATTTAAAAATGTACGGAATGTAGGGAAAATATATAAAGAAAATAGACTTCTTGACATAGATAAATGTATGGAATATATATAGAATATATAGAAAATATGTTTCTTTATATATATATATAATATATTTGTGGTTATATGTATAAAGAAAAACACATGTAAAAGAAATATATACATCTATGAAATCCAGCTGTGGCAGGAGTGACAGGACTGAGGGATAATGGCGTGTGCCAGGCTCCCCTTCCCCCGGCAGCTCCCCCGCTCCTTCCCAGCCCTTCCCTGGCAGGATTTGGGGTCCCCGAGGGTTTCCAGAATGTACTGACTACTGGAGGGCTGCGAGGGGAATTATTGTTATTTTTCACCAAAAGTTTTCTAAGTAATTTATAAAGTCGCTGCTTGTAAACTAAACAGAGTGTGTATGTAAGAGGATATATTATCCCGCGTCGCCCGCGCTCGGAACCTTGTACAAAGTGACAAAAACGGACAAATAAAAGTGTCATTCTGCAAAGGCCCAGAATTCCCAGTGGGACATCGTTCCTGCCACCCCCTGCCCATCTCCTGGGGGGCTGGGGCTTGTTCTGTTTGCTCCATGGGGTTATGAAGTTGTGGATTTTCCCAATCCCGGTCATGTGGATGGAGGAGCTGGGATGGGGAGCCAGGGCTCCAGATCCCTTCCCTTTGGATTGTTTAATGCTGGTTGTTCACATTCTCATTATTTATGTGCACAGAATTGCTATTTTACTTGTTATTCACGTTGTTTTTATTTATGTATATACAGATTCTTTAGATACAAATTATTTTAATCAATACTTTTTATTTTACTTATATTTAGACAATTTTTCTGTATTCAGATAATTTCCATTTATTTCTATTAGATTTCTATTGGATTATTCAGATTATTTCTATAGATTAGTTTTAGGTAGACTGGTCATATTCAGATTACTTATTTTCAGTTTATTTCTATTCAGATTATTTCATTTTAATTCTGTCCACATAATTTAATTCAGTTGATTTCTAATGAGATTCATTATGGTTCTCTTATTAATATGCAGTTTGTTTGTTCTCAGTTTATTGATATTATTTCAGATTATTTAGTTTTATTTTCTTTCTATTCAGACTATTTAAGGAGACTTCGAAGCAGATATTTATATTCCAATAATTTACATGCATTTGATTTCTATTAAGGTTATTTAATTTCATTTTATTTGTGTTTTTTACTATTTAATTCCCATTTAATCCAGTCAGATTATTCATATTCATCTACTTAAATTAAGATAGGGTTTTTATCAGTTATTTTCTATTCAGAGTATTTCAGTTTATTTAGTTTCATTACATTTCTATTTAAATTATTTTGTTCAGATTCTTTCTAATCTAATATTTCCAAACATATTATTTATATTTATCTTTTTTATATTCAGATAATTTCAGGTTATTTATTTTCATTTTATTTTTATTCCTATTTTTCTATTATCTTCCTTATATTGATTATTTAATTCAGATTATTTATACTAATTTTACTTATATTTAGTTTATTTCTGTTCAGATAATTTCTTTTCAAGGTACTTATATTCAGATTATTGATTTTGATTTATTCCTATTTGGGTTATTAACATTCAGCTGGTCCCCCCAGTCCCCCATCCAAGGGGACCCAAGTCATTGGCACAGGGACTCTGGCTGCAAAACTCTCTTTATTCCGAGTATAAAATGGGGGACACAAGTGGGAGACCCCGGAACGCAGGGACAAGGGTCTGTCACCACGGGCTGGGTCACCCTGGCCAGTGTCAGCCCTGGCCTGGCATCAACCTGAGGCTGTCCCAGTCTGGTGTCACTCCCAGGTGTCACCACCTGTGGCCAGTGTCACCTCTGGGCTGGTGTCACTCCCGGGCTGGCACCAGCCTTGGCTGTTGTCACGCCAGGTTGGGTCATCCCTGGGTTGGTGTCCCCGAGGCTGCCCCCTGGGTGGCAGTAGCTCCTCATGGTGCCAAGGTGTCTCTGCCTGGATTCCTCCAGCATTTGGGACACCATGGAGATGGACCCGGTCAGGTGGTGCCGGTGCCTTGGGCACGCACTTGGGGACATCCCCCAGGGAAGCTCCTCCCAGCTCCCACAGTCCTGGACATTGCCCCAGAGATGGGACCATGGGCACCTTCAGAGCCCGGGCTGAGGAGCCCCAGGCTGGGGGTGACAGGGTGCCAGCAAGGGTGACAAACAAGCCAGGTGACAGCAGGAAGGGGGTTCAGTTCTTGAACATGTCACACAGCAGCTTCTCCATGGGGGTGTTGCCAATGGTGCGGCGGAAGAAGAGCAGCTCCACGCGCTCCGAGGAGATGAAGCGCAGCGCTGGGAGGAGCAGCAGCAGCTTCCCAAACCTGGGGATGGAGCAGTGGCCATGGGTGGGTGTCCCACCCTGGTGTCACCCGTGAGGAGGTGGGGACAGCGGTACCTGACGGGTTGCCCGGGGTAGTGGGAACGGTTGTGCTGGCCCAGCATCACCTGTGACTGGTCCTGCAGGTTCTCCACCTGCTCAGGGTCCTTCAGGCCACGGGTCTCTGCAGGGACAAGGGGGTGACAGGCTGGGGAGGGACATGGGGACGGCCAGTGGTGGCTGCTAGGGGTGGCCTCACCTGGTTTGAAGAGCACCACGGCCTTCATGCAGGCAAATTCCGTGGGGTCAACAGCCAACGCCTTGAAGCGGCTGAGGGTCTCCTGCAGCGCCCGCACGTCCAGGGTGGCCGGCAGCAGCTTCCCAGGGCCCGGCTCAGGGACAGCCAGGAGCGGGCAGCTCTCCAGGGGCATGGACCACTGGATGGCACAGAGCAGGAACAGCTCACTCCATGCTTCTTCCAGCAGGATCACCTGGGGAGAGCGGGAGGAACCGCAAAACCTCTGTCACCCCTAAAGTCTCCAGGACCTGTAGCCACCACATCTGGTCGGACTGACGAGCATCTGCAGGGGAACCCTAAGAGTGTTGTGGATATGCTCCAACTGGCTGCTACATTTTTTGGGGTTCCTGTTGCCCCATAGGCAGATCTCCAATTCCTCATGGAGATTGCCAACCCCACCTGGTCACGGAAGGGCAGGTTGGAGAAGACGGGCAGGTTCTTGGCCCATTTCACGGCCATGAAGAGGAGACGTGCTGAGGTCTCATAGATGTTTTCGGGGCTGGCTGCCGGGTACGGCGCCACCTGGTACTCGCCAGCTGCCCGCTCCGGCTCACTGCCCGTCACATCCACTGTCTCATCAGCTGCAGGGGTGGAAGAGGACACTGGTTGTCACCACACTGTGGGGACATCCACCACCCACCCACCCCCCTCTCCACTGGCAGCCACTCACCGTCCTCGGGCTCCAGCTTGGCACAGGTCTCGGCTGTCATCAGGCTGGCCATGAAGCGATGGTTGGTGGGCGGTGTGGGCGCTCGGGGACCCGGGGTGACAGTGGCACCAGGACCACGAGGAGCCGGACAGGTTGATGGGGGAACCTCACATGTGGTGGCCACATGCTCAGGGGGCAGCTCAGCATCCAGCTGGATGCTGTCCAGCTGGACCTGGGCTGTGCTGCGGGGCTGGCGCTCGTTCTGCACAGCTGTGCGGACAAGGTGCCATCAGCACCGGCCACCCCGCTGTCACCCCTGCTGTTTGTCACTGTGTGTCCCCCCATCTTACCGTCCTTGTTCATGCCAGCCTGCAGGCACTTCTTGAGCCGGCAGGCCTGGCACTGGTTGCGGTGAGCCTTGTCCACTGGGCAAAGCCCTGTCCCTGCCTGGCACCTATGGGGAGAGGTGGCACATGGCTGCAGCCCCTGAGGTGGCCCCTGTCCCCGAGGAGGGTCCTCCCCCATAGGTACCATGTCTCCCCCCATGGGTTCCCTCCACCCAACAAGTGCCCCACCACCTGTCCCCAAGAGTGTCCTGTCCCCGGTGGGTGCCCTGTCCCAGTGAATGCTCTGCCTTGATGGGTGTTTGGGCCCCATCAGGGGGCTCTGGACACCCTCTCCACAGGTGCCTCTCCCCCTGCATGCCTGTCCCCTGAGTAGTTTTAAGTCCCCCTAGGTCTCTGCCCCACCCATTGCCCATGCCCTGGGGTCCCTGGCCTGCTGAGTGTCCATCCCAGGGTACCCTGCCCCACTGGGGGCCTCCCCCAAGCTCCCTGTCCTGCTGGGTGTCCATCTGCAAGGTTCCTGTCCCACAGGGTGTCCATCCATTCCCTGCTGGGTGCCCCATCCCATGGGTTCCCTGCTCTGCTGGGTGTCCCTACCCTGCTAGGGACACCCAGCCCGCTCCCCCCACTCCTGCCCCACTGTGTCCATCCCCTGCATCTCTGACACCCGTGGTGGCCATTCCTGGGGTCCCTGCCCTTTGGGGTGTCCTCTCCTCTATGGTGTCTGTCCATGGGACCCTGGTTCTTGCCCCCTGGATGCCCATCCACAGGGTCCCTGCCCCTCTGACTGCCCTCTGTGCCCCCATTCCCTGCCCCTGGGCGCCCCTGTTCCCACCTGTAGATGAGCTTCCTGCGGACGCTGCGCTTGAAGAAGCCGCTGCAGCCATTGCAGGCGTAGATGCCGTAGTGCTTCCCACTGCTGGTGTCCCCACACACCTTGCACAGCAGCACCGGGCTCAGCTCCTTCCCAGGGGCTGGGCTCAGCCCTGTGGGAGGGGAACCGTCACATCTGGGTTGACTCTGGGCATCCCAATGTCCCTCGTCCCACCCACCAGCCCCTGCTGCCTCCCAGCATCCTGGAGATGGGGTGGCTCCTGTCTCTGCTGTTCCAGCCCAGGGACATGAATGGGGACACCTCAGGGACTCCACACAGGGGTCACCATCTTCCCACAGCCCAGCACACAGAGTGATGCAGGATGGGCTCTCACAGGAATTTTGAAAATTAAAAAAGGGATGAAATGGTGTTCTTAGGGATGGGGACACCAGGCATCCCAGGAAGGGGACTAAGCATCCCAGCAAAGGCTGCAGTCAGGGATGGGAGGAGTCCTGGAGAAGGGACAGCTCTGGGGACATGGGACACCCCAGACGAGAATCACAGCAGGGAACTGTGGGGATCCTGGTAAAGGGCCAAGGACCAAGGGTATCCAGGAGAGGGTTTTTACAGGGGACCCCAGGAATCCTGGAGTAGGGGCATAGCTGGAGACCTCAGGGATCCTGGAGAACAAACACAAGTGAGGACCATGGAGAGGGTCGGGCACTGCAGGCATCCTGGCCTAGGGAAGGACCATGATAGGGACTCAGCATCTTGCAGAAGGATGGCAGCTGAAGACCCCAGGCATCCCAGCAGACCATGATGGGGCCTTGGGCACCCAAGATAAGGACCACAAGGAGAAGCCCAGCCATTCTGGAAAAGGTTAGCAATGGAGAACCCAAATATCCCAAACAACTATGATGGGGACACTGGGTGTCTTGGAGATGAACCATAATAGGGACCCCCAGATATCTCAGAGAAGGACCATGACGGGGACCAAAGGCATCCAGAAGAAGGCCATGATGATCCCAGGCATCTCAGAGAAAAACTGCAGTGGAGGACCCCAAGTAACCTGGTGATTGACCACTATGGGGATTCCAAGTATCCCAGAGAATACTTGAAGAGGACCCCCAGAATCTTGGGGAGTGAGCACAGTAGGGGCCCGGCCATCCCAGAGAAAAGCCCGTGTCCCCCCGAGTCGCCCCCGGTGCAGCGGAGCCACCTCTTACCCGTGGGACTCTCATCCAGCCCGGCGCTCACCACCGACCCCGCCGGGGACGCAGCCATCCCGCACCCGGCGCTCCCGACCTATCCCTGTCCGTCTGTCTGTCCCTGTGGATCCCCGCGGAGGCTCCGGCCAGGCGCTGGGTGCTCCGGCAGCTCTGCGGCCAAAGGGGCTCCTGCCTTGCTCTCTTCAAGGCGGCTTAGCAGCGGGCGCTGTGTAAGCAGCCGCCTCTTTGTCACCCTCTTAATCTTTAGTGTCTGCGCGGGGCGGGGGGGATCAATCAGCCACGCGATGAAGAATTAAAAAGGTGCTGAGCCCCAGCCCTGTAACCCTAAACCCCGCGACACCCAAGCCACCCCCCCGCGCGCCGCCGCGGGCCACCGTGGAGGTGTCACCCTGTCACTGCCACCCCCCCAGCACTGCCAGGCCGAGATTGCGGCAGAGGAGGGAGATGGGGCTGGGGCTGGGGACCCCCCGTGTGTGTCGTCCTCCCCTTGGGACCCACCAGGTCCTGTAAGCGCATAAGCCCTTCACTAAGGCGGTTAGAGGGGAATAACGAAAAGTGGTAATTAAGGGGGGTAATTTCCCTGCCCCCAAGTAATTAATTACCGGCCCTGATGGCGAGGGGAGGGGGGATGCTCGGTAGGATCCCCGCTGTGCCTCAGCATCCCCTCGCGGGGACGGGGCCCTCCACGGATGTTGGGGCTGCTGACACGGCAGAGGGTGGGGGCCAGGTGGCCCCGGGGTTATGCAACCACCGCTAAACCCTCGCGGTGACAGGGCAGCACAATTTGGGATTTGTGGGCTTTAGCCGCTAAACCCCCCCGCCCCACTCAGGGGGGTGGCGGGTGGCCACCGTCACGGGCCCGGCTTGTCCCCGGCCATGGGCCAGGCTGAGGACAGGGGCTCCCGGCCTGCTGTGCCCCTTCCAGAGGGGCTCAGGGTGTTGATGCCCTGAAGGTGGCCCAGGGGACAGGCCCTGGCAGCAGGTCCCTGCTGAAGGCTGTCAGCAGTGACTCCAGTGGATCCAGGGGCTGAGGATCACCCCTGCAGCATCCTCGACTGATGCGGCTCCATCCCCGCTGCCTGCAGCATTCCTGCATCCCCCTGCCTGCAGCGTTCCTGCGTCCTCCTGCCTGTGGCATGGCTCCATCCTCCCGCCTACAACCTACTTCCATCCCTTTTGCCTGAAGCGTTTCTCCATCTTAACAGTCTGCACTGTGACTCACTCGACCAGCCTTGCCTGCACCATGGCTCCATGTTCCCACGTGCAGCGACATTCCATCACCCTTCCTGACTGTATGGCTCCATCATCCTTCCTGCCTGCACCACGGCTCCATCCCTTCCTGCACCACGGCTCCATCCCTGCCTGCACCGCGGCTCCATCCCTGCCTGCACCATGGCTCCATGCCCTTCCAGCCCCCTCCCAGCCTGGGACCCCCATTTCCCCACGGTGCCCTGTCCCACCCACAGCCCCGTGCTGACCCAGATCTCTGACCGCCACCATCTGCGGCAGGGGCCACCTCCTCCTCCCGCAGCAGAATTATGACGCTGGGCTAATGCAGAAGGAGCAAGCTGTCACCTCCCTGCCCGGCCCCTGGGTGCCTCCACACCTCTCACCCAAGGGTGGAACCCTCCCAGGGCTGCAGGAACCCCGGCATCCCGGCGTGCCAGCCCAGCCGTGGGGACACGGGCGGGCAGCACCAGGGACAGCGGGGAGGGCCAGCATGGCGGTACAGCTGAGTTAGGCTAATTTACCCATCCCCTCCTTGCCGTTGGGTAAAAGCCAGCTCTGGAGCAGGGATTTGGGAGGGGGATTAGCTGGGCCAACCATCTGCTGCCAGCCAATCATCAGCACCTCCAGGAAAGCCAGTAATTACAAAAATATGGTTTCCCACCCCGTTTCTCCATTGCACCCTGATGGGTGCTGTCCCTATGGTGGAATCCCTGTGGAGCAGCACCCTGTCCTCTTCCCGGGGATGAGGGCTCCATGAGCACCCAGCTGGGCACTGCTGGGATCCCAGCCCAAGCCCAGCCTGTTTGGGTGAGACACGAGCAGGCCTGGAGGCCTGGAGGGGCTGAGGGTGTGGGTGGGGGTGAAGGAGCAAACGTTAAAGCCCGAGGCGGGGTCGTGACTCGGCCCGGTCACAGATGCTGGGGCAGATGCCATGGGATTACCCAGCCTAAAACCTTGGGATCTGCCCCCCTTCCCCCCAGCAGGCAGAGAGCGTTTAATTACTAATTTACTAATTACCTAAAGATGCTGGCGATGGGCTTGAGACCTGCGGTCAGGAGCAGCCCCAGGGCTCCAGCCACCCTAATCCCACTGGCTGTGGGGAGCTGGTGGATGCACCCTGGCCAGGGACAGCTTGGCTGGGGACACTGAGTGACCCAGGGAAGCACCACTGACCTGGCAGTCCTGCTCCTGTTGGTGATGGCCTGGAGTGCTGGGGAATGGGACAGGACAGTGGGGACAAGGAGGAGACAATGAGGACAAGGAGAACATGATGGGAACCAGGAGGAGATACTGGGGATCAAGGGATGACAGTGGGGACCAGGAGGGGATGATGGAGACCAAGAGGAGTCGATGGGAGAGGGAGGGGAGACGATAGGGACCAAGAGGTGACAACAAGGATCAGGAGGGGGTGATGGGAACAAGAAGGAGGTGATGAGGACTGGGAGGCAATAAGGAGGATCATGAGGGGACAATGGGAACCTGGATGTTTAGATAGTGACCCCGAGACAATGACAAATGGGAAGAGCAGGAGGTGACAGCAGTGACCAGGAAGGGATGATGGAGACCAGGACATGACAACAGGGTCCATGTGAGGATGATGGGGACCAGGAAGGTGTGACAGAGATCATGAGGGGGCAGTGAGATGCAATAGGGTGATGGAGATCATGAGGGGATAGTAAGGACTGAGATGGGATGATGGGGACTGGGAGAGGAGGATGGGAATGAGAAGGGTGTGATGGGTGCATGTGGGCAAGACAACAGAGGCCAGGAGAGGATGGTGGAGATCAGAAGGGGACAAGACCAACAAAAGATGACATGAAGTTCCAGGAGGGTGGCTGTGGGACCGGAGGTGGCTGGGAAGGGTTAATGTGGCCGCCTGCACTGAGCTGGGTCCAGGCCAGGCTCGGGTTTCACCTGTAATTAGCTCTTGTTTATTGGAGGCTCCTTGATAAATGATTCTTTGGAGGTTGCCCGATGACAGAGGGTGACAGTCACCCACCTGAGCCCTGCTAAAGCCTTCACTGACCCCCGGCACCAGGATTAAAGTTTAATGTGACTCTGGAGCTGACCCCAGGCATGCACCATTCTGGGGTGACAGGGCTGGGGACAGGCTGGTGGCCATCCCTGGGACATGGGGCTGGGTACAGGCTGATGGTCTCACAGCACTAGAGGGTTTTGGCACCAAGAGATGATTTGTCCTAAGCCTGGTGGTCAGTGGTTACCAAGGCATTGTGGCCACAGGGCTGTTTCCTGACTCCTTCGGGGTCACCCAAGAAGTTTGTGGATGAAATGTCACACCAGGTTGGGTTTGTCCCCCTGGGACTGGCCCTCCAGGATGGGCACAGTGCCACGGTGCAGCCGGTCGGGGCACATTCCCAGGCACCGGCGGAGCCACCGCGGTGCTGGGGGCGGGCGGAGCTCCTGCCCCGCAGGCACCTTTGGAGCAGCGGCAGCCCGGGAAGCACAGAGCACCGAGGGGACCTTGGAGGCGACCCCAAGGTGAGGCAGCAGGGCACAGAACGAGCCCTGAGGCTGCAGCTTGGGTTTCAGCGGGGTGACATGTCACCACAACTGTGGGGACAGAGAAGTGCCCCAGGTATGGCGTACCTGTCCCCACTCCTGGGCATTGTGTTTTCTCCTTGCAGATGAATCTCCTCGCCCAGGTAAAGGGGGAGCCGGCAGGAAGGACACCTGCAGCCAGGTGCTCCCACCCTTCTGCCGTGGTACCCAGGGCCCTGGACCCCACAGCTGGGACCGGCCTGGTGCTGGCTCTGGGCTGGGAGGGGAGGGAGTGGCCGGGGAGGCTGGGCTGGGCTGGGTGCTGGCAGAGATGGGGGTGGCAGGGGACGGGGTCAGAAGGGGACGGGTCCCGTCTTGCCCTGCCCTCTCTCCCCACAGGTGAGCTCCCTCCTTCAGACCCTGCAAGCCCCAGACTGGCTGTTCCTCCAGCCCTGGCACTGGCTGGGCTCCTGGGTATGGCAGGTTTGGGGGTGCTGGCATGAGAATCTCGGGCAGGGGGTGGCAGCAGCCCAGGCCAGGGCTGAGCCATGACACGGGTGCCACTGGGGCTGATGCAAGGTGTTTGTCCCTCCAGGTGAGCAGCTCCAGGCAGGTAAGTGCTGGCATTGCCCCTGGGCCCTGCACTGCCCGTCTCACCCCTGGCACAACTGAGCCAAATCCTGCCCACCCTGCCTTTTCCTTGGCACCCATGGGTGCTTCGGCACCTGGAGGAGGCAGCCCCTTCCCAAAGGGTTTCCATCCATGGAGACCTGAACCCAATCTGTGCTTAAGCCACCAATGGTGTGGGATGAGCCAGCAGGTCAGTGACACTGCTGGTGTCCCCAGGGCACCGGTGGCCCTGAAACACAGCTGGGTCCCCAGGCAGTGACTGGGGCAGTGACCACGGCAGGGTTCTTCCTCTGCGAGGGGCTGCTGGGACAACACTTCAACATTGTCCCCAACGGGGTGGCTGAGCCCCAGCCTGGGGACCTCTTCCTCTTCCCGCTGGCCTCAGGGGGCCCTGGCTGGTGGGGCGCCCACGCTGGCATCTACTGCGGTGACGGGGAGATCATCCACTTGGAAGGTGAGCCCCGGGAGCTGTCATGGCATGGGGACAGCTCCGTGGAAGGACATCTCCACGGGAGGGACATGGGGTACAGAGTCTGCTTCGCCCTGCAGGCAGCTCAGGGATGTCACCATCGGGCATCGTGGCCAAGCACGGCAAGAGCCACCTGCTGCGGACGCGGGGCCGGGCCCGGGTGCTGCGCAGGAAGGGGGCGCTGGACGTGGCCGCGCTGCAGCGCCGGGTCCGGGCGGCCATGGAGC